AATTTAGTGTACACAGTGGATCTCTTAAGCCTATTGAATAATTTGCAAATAAGAGGTATGGGTAAGCATTTTTCACAGTTATTGGATTTAAGCCACTGTAGTCAAAGCAGGGTTATAAATCTCACTCCTTTTTTGAGACAAAGAAGAAAACCCGCTCTTGCAGGATCTTTGAATTAATTCATTAGAGAGCGATTCCTGGATGTATTCTTCCATTATCTCACCATCATGTGGGGACAATGGATACACCCTACTCTTAGGTGGCATAGTACCTGGTAAAAAGTCAATAGCATAGTCGTATGATCTGTGAGGAGGTAAGAACTTAGCATGAACTTTATTGAACAGATTGTAATTATGAGCAGTGTTTGTACAAAAACATGCTTACATTCAAATACACAGAGTATGTGTGTGCATGTAGGAGCTTATTTGTATGTACTGTTACCATTGGAATGTAGTGGTGTACCTGTGTGAAGTGTTTGCGTTTGAATGCAGAGGTAGGTTTGTATGTAGTGTTGGTTTTTAAATGCACATGTACATTTGTGTGCAATATTGGTGTTTGAATGAAAGGGCGTGTTTGTATATAATTTTGGAGTTTGAATGGAGGGGTGTGCATGTATGTAATGTTTAATTGCAGGTATGTGTTTGCACATAGTGTTTGTATGTGCATACATCCCAGAAATCAAACCTACATACACAGATATACATACACACACAGATACACATATATAAACAAACAGACAGACATACACATTCAGATACACCCAGATACACCCACTGACAGGTTTTCTGGGTGAACAGGGCAAGATCTACGTAGGTGACCCTTCTTTCCACAATACAAGCATAAACTGCTTCTAAATTGTTTTTGTCTCAAATATCTTGGTTGCTTCCAATTGCATCGGCACAGGTTTAGGCAATGTAGGAGCAAGAGAAAAGGAGAAGTGAGAAGACAGAGAAAAAAAAAAAAAGAACATTTGTATCTATACCTAGTCTTTTCTCTCTCCCTTAGCCTGTGGTCGGTTTGCATCATATAATTGATGTAAACTTCTATCCTCTCTGGTAATCTCTAGCTGCTGTCTCATCAAAACGGGTATCTGAGAGCCCTTCAGAAAATGCCAAATTCAAAGCGCTTTTTGTCCAGTCAACCTCAGGAACTAGTGTACTAAAGTCTATGGAATAATCTGCCACTAAATGATTACCCTGTTTAATAAACATCAAGGTCTCTGCAGCATTTTTTCTCTCCACATAGAGGTTTAAAAGATTGCTTCAATCCAATTACAAATTCATTATAATCATAGGCTATGTAAAGTTTGCTCTCCTAAAGGGATTGGGCCAAGCAAGTGGTTTTCCACTTAACGGTTTTATCAAATAACCGATTTTAGCTCTGTCTATGGGAAAAGATCTAGGTGATGCCTCAAAATTATATTCTATTTGGTTAAAAAAACAAAAACCTATATTCTTGTGGATCATCCCCAAATCTAGGAGTATGTGTCAGATTTATGGAAAAACTTTTATAAGTCAAGGAATGGGTACTACTGCATACTGTGGTACATACAACATAAGTGGAAACTCAAGTTGAAGATAAGCTGTATGGATATGAAAAGTTTGGAGCACCTGCGTGAACTGATCCATGCAGTGATCAAGTTCCTCTAACTTAGTCTCATACAAAGACATTTGTTGACTTAAGCCTGCATGGTCCATGGCCCTGTTATGTCACAATTACCTATGACCAGACACACAGCTTAAGTAAACATAAATAAATAAACTATTTGGAATAAAAGCCTATTACTGGGCCTTAGAGTTTTGGCACTGAATGCAACACAGAGTAGCTCAGGACAAGCCAGGGACAGCAGAACAATTAGTAATAAACAAGAAAACTAGCCAAAGGTCAAGCATAATAGATAGGAGAATGGTCAAGGACAAGCCAAGATTAGATAAGCCAAAGATATACAAGAACTGGTGTGCTCTCAAAATGACCAATAAATGGAAACCGCTTGGGGATTACATAGCCTCAAGAGGGCAAGTTTTGCCCATGTGATGCCAGAATGTGTGTGCTTGTCGCAGCGTGATGACGCATGCACCTTTGCGTCCTCTATTAGATCTGAGGGGAC